CAGAAGCTCACCATGGTGATGCCTGTTTATGGAGGCAGCATGGCCTATGATGTGCAACCCGGCAGGCACCAGACATGGGTAAAGGCTAGCAGACAGCCCTTCTTTCCGGTTTCTGCAGAGAGGCTCAGCATTCCCACTGGCCCTGGCCTCACTGGGATGCGGCGGAGGGAGCGTGCCATCTTGGCTGGAATAAAGGCAGCAAGACCACCAACAATGTGCCTTTCTTTTCCTTCTTTCCTATTTTCTTTTTTCCTTTCAAGGCGTGGGGCTGGGAGTTTCTGTTCTGTCATATCGTATTTATGCATATTTCTCTCTCATTCTCAGACTCACACACTTTCCCTCTCCCTGGGAGAGATAACATGACATAGTAGAATATGCTTACACTCAAGTAGTACATAGACAGACAGTAGATAGACCGATGTGCTAAAAACCTGCCCTCTGCATTTGGAGAAACAAGGTTCAAATTCCAAGCTTGCAATTTACTGATGTGTGACCTCATGGCAAGTTCCTTTCTGGGTAAAAAGCTTCTGAGGGGCAGGGTATGAGAGACTAAGCATCAACCTCCTCATGTGAAAAATGAGATAACAGTCCGTACCACAGATGATTGCTGTCTGGATTGAGAAAATGAACTCAGAGTCCTTACCACAGTGGTTAGTGCATAGAGTGGGTTTTAGCAAATAGCAGCTCCTAAGAAGCCTGACCCACAGAATTTTTATCTGTTGAAGGGAAGTAATAATATCTACCTGTCAGAGCTGTTGCAAAGACAAGAAAAATGAAAGGATTTGTCTGCTGTAACAAATAGTTCCCAAATCTGCTTTGGGAATTACTGCTGCAACATGTCTGAGTGTGATGTGGGTAAGTGGGAGGCAGGGGAGGAGAGGTCTCCACTCCATGCCAGCACCCACGGGCCCAGCCTTTTTCCATTTGCTGTCCAGAGACAGCACTGTATGGGGACTGTGTGGACATGCGGTCCACTGTATCTGTTGAATCAAGCCCAGGGTGAGGGACAAGGAAGAGTGTAGAAGATTGGACAGGAAGATTTAGGACTCAGGCATGAAGGCAGCATGCATTACTTCTGCTCAAGGATGCAATAGAGGTATATTGATAGACAGAACCAAACAGCCAAAAGTTCCATACAATCATTCCCCACAATCTTTGTTGCCTGCTCATGTCTATTGGAGATGGTCCTGCTACTGGGCCTGTCCAAACTGCAGACTATGGCCAATCCCCCCCACCCCACTCCACAAACGTTATAATAAAATATTTTAAAGGATATATTGTTGCACGTATATATTTACTGTACTACATATTTCATACAGGGCCCAAGAAAATTCCTTTCTGTTTGGCCCAGGCAAGCTGAATGTTTAGAGCCTGGTATACCTGTCAGAGAACCAATCACAGCCATAATTTTAAAACACTTCCTATCCAAGGCCCAGATTCGGGTACTGCTTCCTCATTCAGGATCATCTCCTTTGAGACCACGCTGTCTATTGATGGTTCAGAGCTCATCCAGGTCTGACATGTACTGATTGCCTCAAAGACCAGGACTAAAGATTGAAAAATCATGAAAAAGTACAGTTTTGGAGTGATGGGGACTAGGGTAGGATTGGCAGCCTCTCCTCAGTCTCAATTGAAGGGATTCTCGTGTTTAACCAAGAGTGTTTGAAGCCCAGTGTTCCTCACTGTCCCATGGTCTGCAAACAGAGGAGGTTATACCAAGCTTGGAGGCTCAGAGAAATTAAATAAATGAGTTACTCAAATACACATAGCTGGGGTGTGGGAATGGAACCGAGATTTGAGCCTGGACCTGTCTCCCTTCAAAGCCCATGTGCACTGACTTCTCTCTGGCAGTGTATGTTTGGGGAGGCAGACACAGGCCAGGAACAGAGCTCCTGAGCTCAGTGGACTGGGAGAGCATCTTCCTTCCCTCTGGCCCCCTGTATCCAGATACTATGGAAATAGTTGTCACAAAAATATTCTGATGCAGAGGCAGGAGGGAGCCACTCCTGTGCTGTCATTCTGTTTATCAGCCACAAAATAAATACAGCTCTCTTTTCATCTGTAGAAAGACAGCATGCCAACAGGCAATCTCTTGGGGAAAATTCATGTGGAGGCACAAAGTTTGCAGTGGTCAACTTCTCTTAGCAAGCGGAATTATCAGAGTGGAGGTAGAGGAGATGCACTTAAACTAATTACAGTAATCATAGCCGCCAGGATTATTTGACAAGTGCTGGCTAAGTGCAGTGTATACATTATCTCATTTAACTCACATAGGTTGCTGAGATCAGTGTTATCATCCCGATCTAGTCAGTGGAGAAACAGGGCCTCAGAAAGAAAATGAACTGCTCTGACATCATTTTATGAGGCAGGGTGGGTGTCTAATTTCAGGAGTGTTTGCTCCTGAAGCTCAGCCTCTCACACACTGACTCTGTACCTGGGAAACCCCCAGGAGACATCATCCTATTGTGTCTGCAGCATTTTGGATGCACATATTGTACTCTTTCCCATAATGAATATTAATTCAAAATGTTGGTGCTGCAGCCACCAGCACAAGCTGCTATGATACCAAGCTGTGTCTTGGTAATTAAACTCTTAGTTGCATTGTCATATTTGCAGTTGTCAAGGTCTCCAGACATCAACTCAATTCCTACGGGAGGTGAGAACATTGTGCTATGTGCAAAGGAGCTCGCACAGACTCGTATCTGTCTCCTGGTGTCTAACTCTTGCCCCGGCCAACTGCCTTTATTTCCCAGTAGACTTCTTGCTCTCCCTTTACCAACATCCCACGTAGCCTCAGAAGGCTCAGTCTGCCTTCTGCTTCACAGATTAGCTAGAGATCTACTTGGGTGGGGGTTCTAAGTCGTGAAAACTGGATGAGATAAAGATGGTACGCAGATCAGGTTACTTGGGGATGCACTTGAATTTTATTTTAGTCTTACTCTTTGTTTCTTTCTTATTACTGCAGATTATACCCAGGGAATATTGAGCTATATTCCCAATCCACTTTACTTCTTATTTTGAGACAGGCTAGCTAAGTTGCCCAGGCCAGCTTCAAACTTTGAGTTTTTCTTTGTGAAACCCGCACCACCACCAGTAGCTGGGATAACACACATGCACCCCCGTACTCAGCAATTTCAGTATTATTTTTGATATCAGAAAACTAATTCCTTCTCAAATTTGATTGATCCTCTTACAAAGTGATAGAGCCTGTAAATTCTTTCCTGGTTCCCTTTATCAAACGTGTGACTCCCAAATCCTTCAGGGCCATACTTGCAAGATGGAAACTTTAGGCTTTGATTAACAAAACTAAAGAAGTGTGGACATTTGGCTGGGGACCTATCCTGGTAATGCCTCTTAGTAAATCATATGTCCTCTGATGACATTTTGGTCAGTGACACATTGCATATATGTTTGTGACCCCATAAGGTTATATATCTTAGTGATGTTGCATATATTTCATTGTATTTGTGCAATAGTGAAATCTATTAATGATACATTGTCTGGAACAGGTCCTGTCATTAAGTAATGAATATAAATGTCCTGGAGATCAAATGTCCTGCAAATCAAATTTACAGATAGCTTGTAGAACTCTAAGGGCCAAAGTCCTTGATAAGTTTCTCATAAAGCAGGCATAATATATGGAAATTAATTGTTTTGGATCCATACTATGAATTGTAACATATTCTTCATGGTCTCTTTTCCTGCATCCAGTAGCCTTAGATAACTTTAGTGGACAGTGAATATTTATATAGTTGTTCACAGATCACTCCTAAGTTCAATTTTCCTTTCATTCTGGTTTTCCACTCTCAGAGTATACCCTTCATCCTGACCCAGTGCTACCACCATAAAGCTTTCAGTTTTTGCATGTCAAAGTCTCCTCTTTATGGCCATTTTCAACCATTTAAACTTGCAAGTGGAGCAGAAATAGCCCATGCAGCCATCTTAATGTATGAGATTAGCAAAGTTATCTCTGCTATGTGCTGGCCATGTACTCTACTGTGTTTTGCTATGGAGTTAAATGAGACATGAACTTTCCCCTCAGGGAGTTTGAAAACTAGTTGGAAGAAGGACACGTTCAGTTTGTCTGTTGGAGAAGATTGTCTTGTCTATTAGTGTCTCGCTATATACCAAAGTCAGTAATGATTCATTTTGGTTTCAAGTGATAGAAAATTCAGTTCAAACTGACTTAAACCAAAATACAAAGGAGATAGCATGTAATATCAAAATGCAGCAGTACATAGTTTCAGGCATAAGTGAACTCATAGAATCTTGCTTTGCCTCTTAAAAACAACCTTTCCTTGGTGCAGGGGGGCAGTAGAAGGGTACTGAAGACTGAACCCAAGGACTTCACACTGAGCTACATTCCTAGCCCTTTTTATTTTTTAGTTTGTGGTAGGATCTCACTAAGTCCCTGAGTTCCCTGGCTGACCTCAAACTTGTAACTCTTTCTCTTTAGTCTCCCACAGCACTAACCCTACAGATATCTGACACCATGCCCAATTTTTGGGATACTGTCTGTTCTGAGTGGAACCCTAAGCAGTTTAGCAATCCTAGTGGATAGAGTTATTGTTAATTTAAGTCATCCACTCATCCCTGAAATAATTGTTGTGGTCAGAGGAATTGAGGGTGCTTATAAACTTGGCCTAGATCAGATATATGTTCCTGAAATTCCTAGCATTGGAAATATGGGTCAGACACTATGTATGACATGATATGAAAACTATGGGTGGTAGGCATGCAGGGAAAAGTATGTTACTTGGAGAAGGACCCACAGAAGCCAGACGGCAGAGAAATATAACAGACCTCTGCTAAATGCATAATGAATGGCTTATTCCACAGAATATCCTTAAGGCTAGTTGGGCATGCTCAAGGGATATCATTAATCATTGTAATTGCCTTCTCCTTGACAAGCAACGTCCCTCCAGCCCAACCCAGTCTGGATTGAATAGACCATAAATGTAACCTGCAAAAATCTGACCTGAATTATCACTCCATTGCAGTGACCTGGACAGAAATAACATCACCAGGATCACCAAGATGGACTTTGCTGGGCTCAAGAACCTCCGAGTCTTGTAAGTAGCAAATGTCTCTGTAATGCATTCGCATTTTCAGCTCTTTGGCTTTGTGAAAATGTTCCAGTGCCCTGACATCACACTCTGAAGCGCTGGGCAACAGGAATGCACAGTTCTACAGCAGAAAGCCCTTCATTACTGTATCCAAGTGCTCACAGGTATCACCTTCTGTGTCCGGATGCTGCTGGCTGGGTGAGATTGATGGAAGAACTCAGTTCCAGTGACAGGGAAAACAGAAGGCTATAACTGAATAAATCAGCATGCCCAGCTTACAGGATGACAGCAATGGCAGGTTGACTAACCATGCTTCCCTTCCATAGAGATTGTAATTTCTTCTCCAACCTGTGCACTAAAAGAGCAATCAGGACAAATGTTATTTATCTTGATACTTAATGGAGAGGAGGGAAAAAGGGAGAGAGAGGGCCAGACAAGGTCACAGCCCTTGCTAAATATTCACAGCTGTGCAGACAGGTAGCAAAGTTTTAGATGGCCACGGATGGAACATGAAGGCAAGGAATATTGGATTCCTTTGCTGAAATTTGAACACTTTCACGGATTTTTAAGTCTGGGAATGGTAAGAAACTTCCCCCAACCTTGTCCATTGAAAAGTCTGAGCCACCCAGAGGTCCAAGAGAGTAGCAATTAATTCCTCGTTCTTTCTTTTCTCTGAAGTTGATTTTGACCCAAAAGTGAGCCCTGGAGAGTAACTTGGGCAATTTAGCCACTGCGTTGGTGTTATTTGCGTCACAGACCTTTCGCTGGCAAATGTTTACTAAATTTAACTGGTGTTGGTACCTGAAGTCACCTCTTTCTTTTACTAATAGAATTTTGTATGCAGACTAGGAAGTGTCAGATTGTGATTTGATTTAGAGGTTTTTTTTTTTTTTTTTTTTTTTTTATAAGTGTTGGTTTAAATTTTTTTTTTTTTTTTTTTTTTTTTGGTCTTTTTCCTTTTTATTGGTACTGGGGATCGAACTCACGACTGCCTGCTTGCAAGGCAGGTGCTTATGCCGCTGAGCTAAATCTCCAGCCTGCTCATGCTACTTCTGGGAAGCCCCTCTACCTCTTTCAGCCTCGGTATTGGAAACAAATAGATAGCAGTCTTTTCATCTCATGTGGTTACACACAGATTGTTTTATGGTTTTAACATTATCATACACAGTATATACTTGTTCTCAGTAGCACTTGTGAAGTATTACTTTTCTAATATTACTTTCCTGATTTAATAAGTGTTATTAATGATGATAATAATGGCAACCAACATGTGCAGGATGTTTTCCATGGACCAAGCATAGCATTTTGTAATGGTAACATGAGGCTGTCATTATTATGAGCAACTCTTTGCAGCAGAGAGGGACAGAGCAAGATAGGATAGGGAGTTTCAGTGCAGGTGACCGAAGGAGTTGGAATTGGGACCCAGACTGTGTGCCTTCTAACATGCATACAGTGCTGCCGTGTATATGCATTCTAGAAAACTTCGAAAACTAAGACAGTAAAGTATACCCAATTTTAAAAATGCAGCTGGTGCTAGGAATATTGATCAGTGACAGAGTGTCTGCTTAGTATGTGCAAGACCGTGGGTGGGTCTAGTTTCTAGCACTGAAAAGAAATGTACCACTGATGTGCAGGGCTTACCTGCATTTTTCTGAGTGTCAGAGTGTGGGGAAATATGTTTCTGAGTTCTGGGCATCCAGCTACTACCAGATGCTCCCCACTGAAATGTTTTCCTTTCTTTGGTCTTGAACATGCTCCTTTCATCATCCTCAGAGAGAAAATCCATCCCATGCAAACTGCTCTTTTGCCCCAGCAGCTCTGCATCTGTCAAGTGACTCCGACAAGGTCAGACTGAGATAAGGGTGGAGAAATCCAAGGTTCAGTTTAGAATAATTTTTATTGAAGAAATATAAAAAGTAGACTTTTACTTCCAGATCATTTACCCAGTTTAAAAAATAGATACTTGCTTAACCTCCGTTTTTTTTTTTCAATTTCTTCCCTGCATCTGTGAGAAATTTCCCTTTATAAGTCACAAATTTCACCTAATAATTCATTTTTTAGCCAAGTAAAAAAATAACCCTTTGATTTTCTTACTGTTACATCAGAAAGACTAATAAGAATTCCAATTTTCTTATCTGCTCTCTGCAAATAGAAACTTTAAAATAATCACAAAAGATCATATTAATATCTTCTGGATGGTCTATAACATTCTTTTGACTACAGTTTATCTTTTCAGTTAATTGGTACATTTTTCTTATTTTGATAAGCAGTGCCAAAAAGCCTTTTACCCCTACTTTATAGACTCTATTAATACACTATGTTTCATTCTATTGCTTATCAACTCAAAGACAATCTCATTCAAGTGGCCCTTTATTCCTGTGAAAGAATCTGTGAGCAGAAATGCTTTCTAACACCAATAAAATATCCAAACATTTTCACCATATTTTCTCTCAGTCTGCTCCTTTTTAGCTGAGTAATCTACATGACTATCTTTTTTTTTTAAAAGCTTTCTTCACATCTTGGCACATTTCCTATATATGCTTCTTATTTACAACTTTTAGTGAAGTCAGAAAATGCTCAATTGTCTTGAATAACTTGAGCTTGCCACCCATTTCCCTGAAAAACTGTTAATAGGGTGCAGGTGAATTGGTGAAAGCAGATGAAACAGAGATTGGTATGCTTCGGTTCCATCCTAAGGCAATTTTCTGTAAGTGAAGCGTATTCAAGGAAGAGAAATAAGAGGTGCCCGTGACAGTTATTTCTCCCATGGGGTGGGAGTAGGAAAGGATCTCTTCTGGTGGTATCAATTGTGTTCCCTTTCTTAGTAATCTATTTAAGGGCTCTACTATATTTACAATGTGGGAACCAGCTTTATCCCAAATGGGGTTAATAAAATAATTAAACTCCGCCTCCACCATCATCACATGAGGGCAATTTCCGATTCTGAGCCAGTGCTAAAACTGAAACTAAAAAAAAAAAAAACAATGCTGAAGAGCTTAAATGAACACAGTATGTGTCCCTCTAACTCAGAACAGACTCCAGCGATTGGCAGCCCTTCTGGGAACGCATCCTTTCTTAGATCCCCTGTCTTGCCTCTGCTCAGCAAAATGAGGGTGGTATCCCTGGATTTCCTGCTTGCTCTTGGCTTGCGTCTCAGCTTAGGAGTTGGGATGGGGCTGTGATGGCTCCTCCACTCACTGCATCTTTGCTTTACCAAATGATGGTTTTATATTGAGCCGTTAAGTGCTAGGCTGGGCTCTGATAGATCTGGGAAATAGATCTCAGGGAAGGGGTCTGCGTAACTTTCTGACACGAGATGACATGTGAGGCAAATGAGGAGAAATAAAGTTAATTTCTGTCTTACTTACTTTATGCTCATCAGGAGACAAAATACCTGAAGCCCAAATTTGGGAAGGAAAGGTTTATTTCTTACAGGTTTTGGAGGTTTCAGTCCACACTCAGTTGGCTTCAAGACAGGCGGGCATGGCTGGGCTGCAGTTCATGGCGGCTGCAAACAGCAAACTCAAACCAGCAAAGAGAAAGACACACCTTCTTCCTGCCATTACATCACATCCTGGCTCCACCCCTATGTGGGTGGAGCACTGACACCATCAATCCAAGCACTATACAATGAACTATCACAAATGAACAATGCAAACTCATGAGGCCTGGGGGACACAAACATAAACCATGACAATTTCAAAGATGTGGGTAGGGTAAGAGAATTCAAGAAGAGACGATACACTCCTCAGGCTCCTGACAGCAGGGCCCCACTAACTACTACTGCTCCTGGGCCTCTCAGAGCATTGGGAGGAAGTGACTACCAGTGTCCAGTACCCAGGGACTGCCTGACAGTACCTGTGGCCTGAGGTAGAGGGACACAGTCAATCTGAAGTGTGTTGGCCAGGAAAGAAGAGAGCGACTCGGCCACTCCTACAGCCCTCTTGTGGTCTTCCCACTTGCTGGTGATTCCTACTCACTGATTCCACAGCAAACCAGAGGTCAAGATGTTTCCTGAGAAAGGCAATGAAAATCAGCCTTCCCAGGGCCCAGCAAGGTGGAAAAGGGGCAGGAGTCACATAGGTGCCTGTTTCACTTTTTACCCCTGTTACAGAGAAGCTAATAGTGTGAGTTTAATGAGTATAGAGTGTCACGAATCACAGGAAGTTAGAGTTAGGCTTTTTCAGAAACCCAGAGACAATGTGCCCCTCAGTTCCCCTAAAATTACTCCTTTTTATAATTGGCAAATAATGACAGCAAGCTTTGTTATTGATGATTGATTGACTGATTGATTATAGAAGCCTAGTGAACAAACTACCCAGTCACTAAGCACTGTGCTGGCTCCCTGTTTAGCAAGTTGTGCGAGTGTGAATTTGTTAGCCTTCCAAAGCCTCCATGCCATATGGCAGGATGGGAAAGAAGAGAAAGAAGGGAAGGAACATTTATTAAGCTAATTGTACTTCAGATTGTGTGCTTGATTAAATTTTTGTTCCATTTGTATGATTGTAACATGTCAAAGTGACGTTTTATTTTCTCTACAGGGAGGAAACTGAGTCTCAAGAGGTTGACTACCTAGTGCAATGTAATACCATCAGCCAGTGATAAGCAGGACTGGGATTCTAAACAGCATCTGAAAACTGTACCAGTCTGAGCCTACAGGGTTTATGTCCCCTAGCTGGCTGTGTAACTGTGTATGTGTCATTTCTCCTCGAAGGGCTCTAGATCGCTCCATTTAGTCACTTCCACATCTAGTGAGGGACCTCGGATCTAGTCAGCCTGTGAGGGGCCTCATGTATGAGGGTCAGCAGTGACATAAATGAAACTGCAGGGTGCTGAAGACTGCAGTGAACTGGCTGACTCCCAGACTGATAGTTCTGCCCGGTTGATACTTGGCAACACTAAGGTGAAATGTCATTGAGCCTAATCAAATACCCTCACTTACTTTGATAGTCAGAAGTTAAAGCCTTTTCCCTGATACAAAATCAATATGTGGCATGGCCCAGGGTGGCCTTTAATTTTCCTTCATTGGCTAAGCAGACAGGAAGTGAGGGCCTGGTGACGGAGGAAGTGCTGCCTTCCTTTGCCTTAGCTGTAGTTGGGAACTAGACTGGAAAATGAGACACAGAAGCCGAGGGCTAAGAGTGCTGGAGGGGATGTCCCATCTGGGCCAGCCATCGTGGAAGTCCGTGGAGTCCAGAGGACCCCATGGCCCTTCTCGAGTCTCTCTTCCAGGCGACACCTCCAGTCCAGCTGTATTCTCCCCACTTCCATTCAGCCATCACATACAGTTTGATTCATTTCCTGGCTCGGGGTCTGCTCCACGCAGAGTGCAGACTCACTCTACCCTTCTTTACTGCTCAGATAATCCATTTAAGGTGCTGTTTCTAAGTCAGGGAAACATGTTTCATTGTACACTCAGTTATTAAGTATATGCTACACACATGAATCCAACTCTCCTGGGCAGAGTATTTAGGGTATTTTAATCATGTTCTGGGAGGATGTGAGTGAAGCTTGTGGCTGGGGATGGGAAGAGTGAGCAATTGTGACCATCCTCGTGAGGCTGAGATTAGCCAGGCCCCGGGTGAGGGCAGTCCACGGAGCAGGCTGCTTTGCTTAGCTGCAGCCAGCTGTCTCGCAATACAGTCTCTTCACCCTTTCTACTAGGGTGAGCAGGGAAGGCCCTTTTCAATGAAGTATTTTTGAATCCTTGGAGGAGGGAGTTCCAGGGGAAGAGATGATGAATATTTGTGTGGTTTTTCTAAGAAGCGGCTTTTACCTCTTCCTTTTCTGTGCAACATCCTGCAGTGCTTGGGGGGCATTTGCTGAGAACATTCTTAAAATAGAGGCATGGAAACCAATCTGTCAGGTAGAAGTGTGCAGGCGGTGAAACCCTGGTTACCGTGACACCAAGCTGGGATGTGAGTTTTCTTGTCCTGCCACACCCATTCCAGTTGGAGGGGTACAGAGGGTGTCGCAAGGGGCTAAGTGACCCTGACTGCATGACCAGTGGCCTCATATGAGAATTCCTCGCCCAGCTTACCCTTGACCCTTGCTGCTTTTTGGTTCTAGACATCTGGAAGACAACCAGGTCAGCATCATTGAGAGAGGCGCCTTCCAGGATCTGAAGCAGCTGGAGCGATTGTAAGTAAAGCACAACCCCTGCCTTAAATAGTGTTTTTTGTCTGTTTGTATTCATTTTATAAATGGATCATGTGGCCTAGTTAAAAACAACATGTTAAAGTTTAATGAAATGTTTGCTGTTGCATTTAAAGCCCACCAAATGCATGTTATAGAGACACTGAAATCCACTTAAACTCTTTTTCTTGAAAAAATGATGGGGTCTGCCTCTGGGGGTGGTTTTTCTTCTTCCTCAGCTTGAGTTTGTTCTGGGTTTCTGTACATGAGGCTGGCTTTCAGGCAAGCCTCAGCCTTCGCTTCTATGGAGGAGGGAAGCCTGCACTTAACCTGTCATGGAAGCCAGAATCCCATACTCCCCACTCCTCCGCAAGGAGAGCACGCTCCTCCCCAGGTTCACTCCTCCCCAGACTCCTCAGCTGCATTCTCCTGGGAGAGGAGAGATGGGCAAGTGGGCATAGCCCTCCGTGTGCCTGTTCTTCCTTGGAGTGAGCATCAGCTTCTGTTAGGAAGCCCACACGTTTCCATGAGGGAACACATTGCCAGTAGTTTAAAAATAGGCCACTGTTCTGACTCCATCAGAAAGAGGGAGCAAAAGAGGTGGGGTAGGAGATGGATTGAGCCTCCATTTATTTTGCTGATGAATGCTTTTGCAGAAAACTCTAGGGTCACTTTGATGAGGAGGGCTGCTCAGATGGTTAAGTGGGCAGCTTCACTTTTCCTCAGTTAATCACATCTGGCAGCTCATAACATCTGGATATTTGCTTTCTGCCCTCTGAGCAGGGATTGTCCCCAAGAGCACTTAGTCATGCTGGTGGGCGGCTCTCATCAATGCTTCCCTCTGCATCCTAGTTGCCCTGACATTTCAGCCTCCTCCTTCTCAGTTGGGGGACGTGGTTGCAACAGTTCAGAGTTCTGCTAGCTTGCCTAGAAGAATTCTGCTCTGGTCACCTGTACCCATTGCCAAATTTTGTTTACAGAGATAATGTGGGTAAAGTGGAGTGCCCGCCACCAACTTACTAGCTTTGTGATATGCTCTTTTCCATGAAGTAGTTCCATCTCAGCCCCTTGGGAGTGGGGAAGGTCCTCGTCTCATGAGCATTACTATGGCCTACCAAGGTGTTTTTCTCCTTCTTGTTGAGTGGATGGTATCTTTTATTGCTCTCCTTTGGGATCAAATCCCAGCATATGTTCTGCTGTCACTGGTTTGAAAATATGACATTGATTTCTTGCGACGGGAAAAATTATAAAACTAATGAATATTGCCTTTGTTAGACTTTTAAGTTTTGAAAAATTTGAATTTTCCTATTTTAAATCAAAGAAAACACAAGAAGTATTTGTTGAACCTAGTTCCCCCTGTAAGAAAGAATCAACATTTACATGAAAAGATAGACATGCAGTGCTTTGTAAAAGGGTATTTCCTTACATAGTCTTCAGTTTATAAGGGTGAATAAATTCCTAATTCATTAATTTTGTGGTTCTTGGGAAGGAATTAACTGAATCCTTTGGACACCAGGAACTGTGCTAGTTTTTACATGCTATCATTTCTTTTAGTCCCACAAAATTCCTAAGAGCTGTTATTACCCTACTTTTATAGATGAAGAAACAAAGACCTAGCAGAATCAAGCCAAAGAATTGTCAAGCATGGGGAGTGAGAGTCAAAGCCACATCTGTCTGATATCAAAGCCCGTGTCCTTTCATACTTTGTGTTGCAGGCATTAGATGAAGTGTGATCTTTAGCAAAGCCCTGCAAATAGCCTCTCACACACCCATTTCACTCTAGGGAGTATCAGTGAATTATTCTGGCAAAAGGCTCTTTTCTTTGGCTTGATGAAAAAGGCTGAAATACCGTGCATGTCTGGGGAGCTGAAGGGATTACAATTGCAGAATAAACCTGGCTGTTAATCTGCTGTGGTATATTAGGTGGGTAATGCTAGCTGCTGTACTAGATAAGCCCTCAAATCTCAATGATTTAGCACAATGGAAGGTTATTTCTTTTTCGTATAAAACTCAATATGAGTGACAGGGACTCTCCTCCAATCAGAGAGTCAGGCACACAGGTTCCTTTTACTTCTTGACTTCACCAGGTTTTTAAATCTTGGCATCAATGAAACAGTCTTTGTATCAAGCCATTTGGAGGAAAATGTCATGAAAGGTTGAACAATGGAGGTTTCCATGGCTGAGACCCGAAGAAGGACATGTCCCTTCCATGCTTACGTCGTTGGGTTAGTTATCTGGCTGGAGTACACTGCAAGGCAGACTGGGACAGGCAGCTGAGCTCTGTGCCTGGGAAGCAGAAACTGGCTAGTGAGTGGTTGGCCAGGCTCCAACTAATATTGTAAGTGAGCTGAAGAAGTAGTTGATCAGGAAAAAAGACTGGAGTTGTAGGCTGCTGCACTGGTATACGCAGCTGGATAGTATGAGGCCTCTCGGTGTTAGCAAGAAGGAATACGTGTGCCTGTGTGACTGGTATTATGAATTCTGACTGGTGTTAATCTGGTTTTTATTATACAATCTATCCTCAGGCAAACTGAGTGACATAAAATGAGAAAATACATTTGTCGAGAACTGAAGATGTACGTGGCAGACTGTACCTTCTCTAGTCTTTAGCTCTTACTCTCCTTCACTTTGAGTTTCTACAGCTGATAGTAGACTATTTTTTATTCATCATACTCTGGAAGATAGCTTCAAATATATATAAGATTTGATAATTCATTTTTTTGATAATTCATTTCCACTTTGAATATTGATTATTGGTTTGTTCTCTTGAGGCTTACTGAGAAAGAGGAGCAAAGTCTGTGGTCAGGTCTCTGTTTACAATTTCTTATTCCATGAAAGATACCTGTTCCAGGCTGAATTAAGATGCTTTTATATTAGACATTTTTTGCTGTTAAAGAAAAATATTTGAGGTTGAGCACTCTAAAGAAAAGAGGCTTATTTAGTTCATGACTTGGAGGTTTAGAGTCTAAGGTCGAACAGCATCATCAGTTCAAACTTTGGTGAGAATCCCCTTGGCTACATAACATCATGGTACATGACATTGTCGTGGAGGCACATGTGAGAGGGAGAGATCCCTTAGGGAGTCAGGAAGTCAGAGTGGGAAGGGAACAGCTAATTCTCTCTGTAGGCCACCTGTGTCCTTCATGAGGGTGATACCCCGTGACCCTATCACCCACCACTATTCCCACCTCCAAAAGATGCCGCTTTACAGATAGGCTTACTACACGTGAACTTTTGCAGAATACACTCAAAGAACTGCCAAATCGAAGTACCTTTCTCTAATGATAACACATCATTATTCCTATCATAAATCTTACAACACTGTATATTAATTCCTATTTTCCAGATTGTCTCTCCTCAATACTAGGAGTGTGTTGAGAGTTTTGGTCATGTCCATTTGGCTCTTACAACAAAGCATGATATTAAGTGCTAGAGGGAATATTTAAAATAATACTTGAGTCTTCATTCCATACCATAGACTCTGAGATAAGATGAAGTTTGTTTCCTGAGTGACAGTTGGCAATGTGGAGAGAAATGTTTGATTTTCACAAGTGGAGGATGTCATCTAGTGAGTAGGGGCTGGAGATATTTCTAAATACCCTAAAAATGTATGGGACAGTTGCACAAAAAAATAGTCCAAATAACACTAATACTGAAACTGAGAAACTACTTATCTGTTGGTGTATCAGACAGCATATTAGATACTGTATGTATATTATCTCATTTATTTTGCAAGAATATTATAAGGCTCAAATATTCATATCCCTGATGTAACAAAATATAAAATTAAAAGCTCTAAGAAATATTGTCACTAAATGTGTTTACCCTAAATCTACTTTAGCTAGATCTCATTTCTAGCTCCTAGATAGTGCGATAGAGGATGAGGTGAGAGAGAAGATGAAGCAAAGAGGAGTCAAACAAATGGAATAAGTGGGCCATGCTGTAAGATAACTTCTCTGCTTTCTTAAAAAGGTCAAAATCATGAACAGAGCAGCAAGTGACTGTTCTAGATTAGAAGAAGCTTAGGTAGAAACAGCAGCATAAAAGTGAAGAGAGTCAGTGGAACTAAAGTGTTCAAAGAGCACTGCATTATCTACAAAGTGGTAAGGCTAACATTCATTACCTTACTAAATAAAGACAGTATGCTACAATCTATTGGACAGCTTTTAAAAACAATAGTAAAGGGGCTGGGGATTTAGCTCAGTGGTGTAAGTGCCTGCCTGGCAAGCACGAGGTTGTGAGTTCGATCCCCGTTACCCCAAAAAAAAGAAGAAAGAAAGAAAAACAGTAGTAAAAATTGTAGCAATTCAATAGGGGGAGAAGGGACATGAATGATACACCATCTGGAATAAAAAGAAGGAAAAAGAATAGAGAAAAAATGGGGTAAATAAAAAACAAATAGTACCCATGCAAACACAAATATATCATAATTAGTTAATCCATAGAAATGGATTGAGGCCCCCGTCAAAAGACATAGGCTGTCATAGTGGAGTAGAAAAGAGCAACAATTATGTGCTTCTTGTAAAGATAAATAATATTAGAGGCTTGGAATTTAGCTCAGCGGCATAAGCACCTGCTTTGCAAGCAGGCGGTCGTGAGTTCGATCCCCGGTACCAGAAAAAAGAAAAAGGAAAAAAAAGATAAATAATATTAGCTATGAATATAAAAATGTTGAAAATAAAAGGATGAAAAATGCCATAAAAACTGACCAAAAGATAATTGTTATAGCTCTGCTGACACTGGACAAAATGATCTTTTTAAAAAAAAATTATTAAATATAAAAGGTGATATTCATAATGATAAAGTACTAAACACGTTAAGAAGAAACAGCAAATCTAAGTTGGTATGGCCTAAAAATATAGCCTGAAAGTATATAAAACAAATAATGTCAGCACTAAAAGGGTATATTGATGAGTTTATGAACATAGTTATACTTTCTCAATAATTGATGCTTCTTACGTGTACAACTATTAGTAACATGCAGAAGATTTTAATAATAATATTTA